AGGGCTGCGTTACGGGGGCACCGGCCGAGGGCTGCGTTACGGGGGCAGTGGCCGAGGGCTGCGTTATGGGAGCACTGGCCGAGGGCTGTGTTATGGGAGCACCGGCCGAGGGCTGCATTACGGGAGCAGTGGCCGAGGGCTGCGTTACAGGAGCACTGGCTGAGGGCTGCGTTACCGGGGCACTGGCCGAGGGCTGCGTTACGGGGGCACTGGCCGAGGGCTGCGTTGTGGGGGCAGCGGCCGAGGGCTGCGTTGCCGGGGCAGCGGCCGAGGGCTGCGTTGCCAGGGTGCTGACTGAGGGCTGCGCTGCAGGAGCATCGACCAAGGGCTGCGTTGCAGATTTGCTTGCTGACTGCTGTGCTGCAGGAATACCAGCTGAAGGCCGCAGAACAGTCTGATTGGACGGGGACTGGGTCAACAAGTAGTCTGCAGGATGAAAAGCTGTAGGAGGGAATTGTGAATTGTCAGCAACAGTGACTGAGCTTGAAGGGTTTCGTGGAGGTGAGACATCAAATGGTGCACTTTGGAAGGGAACAACAGCAATCGTCGAAGAATCTGCAGCAGCATGATTAGGATGCGAAGCAACAGAAGGACTAACATTCCCTGCAAAAAGACATTGAGGTAATTAACTTGTAATATTTTAACCTTTTTGAAAAATTAAACCATGTTGTTTTGATACTTAAGTCACATGTAGCATCTTTTGGGCTAACCAATAAAACTGTGAAATACAGAAAGGAATAAAAGTGTTGACAGAATTAATATTTTAACTTCCAATGTACTAGACAGCTACATAATCTGTTATTTCATTAATCTGACTAATGCTGTAGATACCTTAGAATGCTACATACACAATAAACATAATGCACCTCCTCTGACTTTCCAGTCAGAAAAGAAAATGTCTGAAGGAAAGCAATGAAGGAGTGATTGGAAAAAAAGTATATAGATGGGGAAGCAAAGAAAGAAAGGAGAATAAGTGAAAAGAAGAAAACAAACAACAGATGCAAAAGATACTGGACAACATATCAGAAAGGCGACTACAGAGATTTCACATGGGCAATAATGGTCTTGCCAGCATTTTGAGAAAGACAGGAAAATCCATGTCATTTCTGGGGGGTCAATATTGGACCTGCAATTTGGATTTGAACACCTAGAGGCAGAAATCGTGCTTCTCAAGTGTTAAGAGTTGTCAACCAATCAGAGGGTCTAATCACACATGGCACTGCCTTAACAAGATGGATGTTCAGCATTGATTCCCTCTTCAGAACCTTAGAGGGGGGCTTGTGGCAACTATTGGGGGGTGGAGTTCATAGGTCATGAAGGGACAGTTTGTTTCTGGGAAGATGGACGTGTGTTGGGGGAGTTGGAGATATATGGGAGGTGGAGGGCTTGTAGGGGGAAGGAGGTCATTGTGAAAAGGGGTTGAGTAGCTTTGGACATGGGGATGGATCAAGGGGAGTAGGGTGTCAGAGCAGATAGGGAGAGCATGAGGGAAGGAGTGAGGAGAGGCAGAGGGCAGGGAATGAAGGAAGACAGGCATCAGTAGGGGTGGGACTCGGGTGTTGGGGTAAGGGAGAGCATCAAGGAGCAGTCTGCTCCAAACTGGCACTGACTGAGGTGTATGCATTCTGTCAGCCTCAGCAAAAAAACATTTTTAACCTTCGATGCTCAATCAAGTTTTTTATATCCACAGGACTAAAGTGAAACAATGTTGAATATTGTAACTTAAAATGAGGACTTACTGTATTCCTATTTTCAAAAACTATGATGTTAAGCATAAATCCTAAGTAAAGGCTGTTGTGGTGGAGAGCCAGAAGACTCGGGTTCAAGTCCCACTTGCTCCGGAGGTGTGTCGTGACATCTCTGAACAGGTTAGTTAGAAAATATCTAAAATCCAAATTAAAAATGTAATGTTTCAACATAAGAATCACAGCGAGTATACTTACTTCTTGGAGCTAAAGATTCAAGTTTCTGTTCCAAAAAGTCTGCAAGATCATTGTATTCTTTGTTCCGTAATGCATTTATCAATTGCCTTTCCCAATTTTGCCGTCTTCTAACGGAATCCAAGAGAATAGGTACGGCTGCCTCATTTCCTTCATATTTGGCTTCAGCTCTTATTTTTTCCTAAACAAGTGAAAGGAGAGCTTTTCGTTTGAAATGCATGGTTCAGGAGAGAGTTTGGAAAAGCATCCTTTATTTTCCATCCCACTATGCGAAAGCCCTCTAATTTTCAATGCAGTTTTATCTATATTCTCACCTTTTTTATTTGAGTTGGACTTTGGCAGAGCTTTTCATCATCTGTTATGTGTATTTCCTTTTACTTTCTTCCCATCACCACACTGCCACTCTTTTTATTTCAAAAAGACAATTCTAATTAATCAACTTTTGAGTTGTACCACTCATAAACTCCTCACCACAAAGGCTTTGATAAAGGGTGAGTGGGTTGGGGGTTACGAAAGGCTAAACCATTGGGAATTTGAAAATGCCACTCTGAAGTGATTTGGCCGAAGTGCTTTTCCTAGTACAGGGTACAGAAGCAATAGGAAGTCCGCCTATCTTACGAAGTGAAAGTGTGAATAAATCAAATCAAACAGTTTAATATTTCCTACATTCCGAACACAGGCAAGTTACTTGGGGTGGAAATTAAAGCTCAAGGCTGCAGTCCATCTCCCAGCCAGAAATAGATGACAACCCCTCCACAGCCATTTCCAGAAGCCCACAAATACAATTTACTGCCTGCTGTTCATGATCCTTGCCTTTGAAGATCAACAGCCAGCGGCCGGACAGATGGAGGCCCAGAGCAGAGGCTAACACTGGGGTACCAAGAAGGTGGGTGAGGCAGGATCACTGCAGCCAGTCAAGCTGGTTCTAGGGACAGGAACAGGGGAATTGTGGAGGGCATTGAAGGGGAGATCCCCGTGGAAGTAGAGTCCTTGCTGCTGAGACACAGAGTGCCTGATCAGGAGCCCTGCTCTCCAATTAAGTCTGCAGGAGAGACCACTACAGGCTGCCAACTCACTAGTAGAATGGATATTTTTTAATCAGCCTGTTCAGAGATGACATTACACACTACCTGGACCAGGTGGGACTTAAATCCCGGTCTCCTGGCTCAGAAGTAGAGACACTACTACTATGCCATAAGAGCCCTGCAGTGAAAGGATGTTAATAATGTCAGGCCAGAGTCCTTGACTTACCCTTTCTTAACTGCTGAAGGGCCTCAATCGGTCTCAAGGTGGGAATGGTTCCTTCAACTTGCCCAAATGCAACTAAATCAAGGGATCAGGAATGCCACAGGCTTTCCACCCTCCAATAATACAACCTTCATGTTTCCCACCCCATTCCTGCCTTTTGGGTGACGAGGGCATTAGGGTGGGGGGAGGAGCTGGAATTTAAATTCCACCTGTAAATGTTTTTAACCGCTTCTTGTGAAACTATTATTGCACAAACTAAGTCTTCAAATTCCAGCTGTAATACTTCTACAAGCAAAACCGTTGCTCTAAGCAGAGCCAAGCAAACCATTTTTTATGTAACAAGGTAAATGTTACTTTTTCTATATTAAGAGAAATAGCATGCTGTTTTGCATAAAGCCATGTTGAACTAACAAAATTGATATCATCTTAGATCCAAATAAATATGCATCATAACCTTTTTTAGCAATAGAAATGGAGTTACCTGGTCCATCTGAGTAAGACAGGGAAGATGTGGTAATAATTCCACTGCGTTAATTTTTAAATAATCTGTCATTCTCCCCCTTAGGTACTTGTATAGCTCGTCACTCACATACGACATTGTGAATGGTTTTTAAACCTTAAAACAAAACAATTTAAAGGATTATCCCTTATTTCTTAACTACTAAAGCAAAATAAAACTACAAATCATGACTGCTAAGGCAAGACAGATAAGCCTTATATTTGAAAACAAAGCGGCATCAAGTCCTGTAGTTTTTACTATGTGCATTTGAGTTTTGATAATTATGACATCAGACCTGACACCAAACTCTTAACTTATCAGGCTCAGCTCTCTCCACTCTTCTGTCTTGGGCTGAAGCATAGGTAATTTACAGATCCCATATCAAGTCCAACATCATCAATATTGTCTCACAGTGACCTTGTAAATTAAGCGAGAGAACAAAATAATAAAGTTGAGCATCCTGTGAGGATGTCTCACAATAGCTGAGATGGACATGTTGTCAAAACCATTCAAATGGTTCTGTACAAAAAGCTACGTCAGGGAGTCCATACACACAAAGGTCAAAAGAAATGCTTCAAAGACAAACTCAAAACCTCAACGAAAGTCAACACATGGGAAGCGCATGCCCAATTACAGAAAAAATGGTGTCAAGATCTCTAAACAACAAGAGCAGCCACTCAGAGAAAGAATAGTGAGTTAGGAAGACAGAGTAGATGCTTGAGCTAACAATCCACCGCCTTTACTGGCTGACAACTGATGTCTTCACTGAGAGAATGCAAGGCTAAGATGAGGCTCACAAGCCACTGTGTCTCACACCAACACTGACATCTCACTTCCACCCAACCATCCCTTAGAAAGAATCGTTTTCCACAGACAATTAAACCATGATGATGTATGTTAATATCATAGATTCCAGAAAACTGCCAGCTAGTCAGATTACTTCAGATCTTACATCAATATTGGCAGCAGGTTTTTGCACATTTTTCTCAGAATGTAAGAACAAGAATAGGCCATTTGGATCTTCAAGTCCTGTTCTGCCACTCAATCTGATTGTGACTGATCTGTGATCTAACTTCACATACCCATCTTTCCCTATATCCCCGAATACATTTGATAAATCTCCATCTCACATCCACGCCAGTTGTAAAATTTAACAACTGATCTGGCATCAATCTTCCACCACGCTGTGCATGAGAAAAGTCTTTCCTTGTTTCACTGTGTAAAGTGTGGTTCTAATTTTTTGACTGTACTTAGATTCCCAAACAGAGAGGCAGGATTCCCTCAATGTTGTACAGAGATAAACTTGGCAAAATCAGCTCTGCTGGAAGTGCAAGTGTGATCTTAGCTGCTAGCAGGAATAATATGATAAATCCATATCACAACTGAAAAATCAAATGCAGCCACTCTGCTCTTTGTTCTTTCTTCCCAAACATCTCATCAATCTATGTAAGTTCATTTTGATGACAAACAACCTTTGAACAAACTTACAAATGCAAATAAAACTTTGAATTTTTTTACCAAACATCCTATAATGCTGCTCAGTTTCAATTAGAGTTTGCATGTGTTTTGGAAGTAAAAATATAACAGATGGTACAGAGAAGAAAGAAATTGTAGTTTAATACACCTTTTCAAACATTGAAGACCATCCTGGAGAAAGCAGGTGCACACTGTAAGCCAAGAACTGAGCAGGAAAATTTGACAGGCCTCTCCCACCATTCAACATTCACAATTACTGGGCTGAATTTCATTTGATAATCCCACACTGTCAGGTCTCTAGTATTTGCAAAGATGTTTTAATTTATTGGCAGAAGAACATTTAGGGGAGAGTGATGGTGTCATAATGTGATCTCAACTTGGCTACAGAAAAATGATAACAAGCAAACCAATGTAAGAATAACTTCTATGGAGTAAGAATGGATCTGTGCCAAATAAATTGAAATCAAAATATGGCAGGCAAAACAGTAACAGAACAATGGGCTGCCTTTAAAGAGGTAATAGGTCAGGCACAGTGTAAATTTATTCCCATGAACTTTAGGAAATGTACAGCGAACAAATCTATAGCACCCTGGATGACAGAAGAGTTAGAGAGTAATCTAAAGCAAATAAATGAGTATTCATGAGGGATGGCAGATGCATAACAGAATTGACAAATCAGATTCAACATAAAAGATTCAAAGGGAAATTGAGAAAGCAAGCAAAAGAAACAAGTGTGAGAAAGAAAAGAGGCTGATAGTTAACATAAAAGGGAATCCAAAAGTCTTCTACAGGACAGGAAGGGGATTTACCCATGGAGACATGGAACATGCCTGAAGTACTAAACTAATACTTTACACCTGTTTTTACCAAGGAAGAAGATGCTGCCCAGAGGAGGAAGATCAGACAATTTATGGGTTTAAGATTGATAAGGAGGAGATATTGGATACACTGTCTGTATTTAAGGTTGATTCAGCACCAATACTGAACAAGATATATCCAATAATACAGAAAAAGGAGGAAAGAAATTTCAGAGGTGCACGTCATACTTTTCCAGTCCTCCACAAATATATGGTGATGATAGAGAACTGGAGAATTGCAAATGTTAAAACCTCACTCATAAATAATTGTAAATGTAAGCTGAACAACTACAGGCCAGTCAGTTTAATGTTTGTGGTGGAAAAGCCTTTGGGACAAAATGAATTGTCACTTGGAAAACATAGACTGGCGAATAACTTACAGAGCTTGCTGTTAGAATCCCTGCTCTTCCTTGACCTCGACCTTGGTGCACAAGGCATAGTTTTAAATTTGATACATATGTATAAAGCCATGGCTAGACAGGGAGAAACTGTTCCCATTAGTGGAAGAACTAAGAACCGGATGGCACACATTTAAGCTAAATGGCAAAAGAAGCAATGATAACAGGAAGAAAAACTTTATGCAGCAAGTGGTTAGGATCTGGAATGCAAGTCCTGAGAATGTGGTATTGGCAGATTCAATGATGACATTGATTATGATCAACAGCAGAGGTGAAATGTACATTTATTCCTGAGGCTTCAGCAACTACAGAAAAGGGGAGGCGATGACCTAGTTGTATTATTGCTGGACTGTTAATCCAGAGACCCAGATAATGTTCTGGGGACCCAGGTTCGAATCCCGCCACAGCAGATGGTGGAATTTGAATTCAATGAATATCTAGAATTAAGAATCTAGTGATAACCATGAATCCATTGCAGATTATCAGGAAAAAACAATCTGTTTCACTAATGTCCGTTAGGGAAGGAAACTGCCATCCTTACCTGGTCTGGCCTACATGTGACCTCAGACCCACAGCAATGTGGTGACTCTTACAGTCCTCTGGGCAATTAGGAATGGGTAATAAATGCTGGCCTACTCAGTGATGCCCTCATTCTATGAATGAATAAAGGGGAGAAAAAAGGAATAGAGTACCTGGGAAGCCGTCCACATTTCTCTCTAGCTCTCTAATTTTTAACTAAAGGATCTGCTGTGAAGTCTGAGGGACTGAAATAAGGTGGTAATTGCCAAGGGTGTGAGGAAGAGGACCAGACTCTCAAAACAAGCATTTGACTGAAAAAATGCTTAGCAAGGGTGTGGTCTTTTGAATTGGGATACATTGCCATGTGACATTCAAGAGGACAGGAATGGTGTGTCTACCTGTCCTGTAGATCAGCCTGTGGCTGAGGCCAAGAGTTACTGACAATGCCACTGGTTTTGCTCCTCATGTTCCTTATCAGTGTAAAGCTTCACAAGCTGCTCCCATGCTGAACTGAAGGCTCGTAACAGTGGAAAGGACATCAAGATGAGTCACAATCATGACAGGTAACTTGCAGTAAGCTGGAACTCAACTGACAAGTATCAAAAACACACTCAAACAAATGCTGTAATCTGCAGCCTCTTGTCGAGGCAGGTTTACAGCTATCCAATTTGACTGTTCAAAGGAGTTCGGCCCGTTTCAAAGAACGACGACTGTCTGCTTTGCTCAAGCCTAGCTGACTGTAGAGTGCACTCAGCCTTGGGAAACCTGTGCACTAGCTGTTAAAGCAGAACGGTAAGTCAATTGAGCATATTATTTGAAAATAGCTACCCAACATCTCTGTTATGTAATAAGGGTGACTGCCTGCAAATCCACTTGGATAAACTAAGATGTGGTCAGAATCCTGTTGGGTTCCTGTCATGACCCAATTTTTCAGGCTTTAACTCCTGTCCACGCTAGAACCTATTTCCCCGTGACAGTCAAAACTCTCCCCAGTATCTTTTAATATTTCCATCA